AGCCTGAGCCGGATTGTAGAGTTGGGATTGGGCGTTGTTGGAGGTAAAGGTAATGAAACCAGAATTGATGGGGAGAACAAGGTGAAGACTTCCGTGGATGTACAAACAGGAGGGAACAAGCTTTTGGCTCCAGGTTCTGTAACTCACACTGGTATCGAGTGCCCACAGGGTGTTCGGGGTAATGCCAATGACTAAGCTGAGTCTGGTAGTTCGATGGGCACGAAAGGTAAAACTGTGGCTGGACTGAATCGACCGTCTAAACATGCAGTGAATGCATGGCAGAAGACTGCACCAAGTGCTCTAAGGTTGAAGGATGATGTCAAAACCTTCATTCGGGAGGATGGAATGGTGGATTTGGACCTGGAGAAGGCTAGAGGGAATATTCAAAAACTTGATCGGGCGCTTGTTGGCAGCCTTCTAGGGCGGAGAGTGCCATTCTGGGTTGTGCAAAATGAATTACAGCGGAAGTGGGGAAATCTGGGTTTGTCTCAAATTACGCCTCTAGGAGCTGATTGCTTCCTTGGATGGTTTGAAGATGTTGATGCTAGAGATAAAGTGTTGCTTGGAGGACCTTGGTATGTGGCCAGCCAGATTATTGGGGTTGAACAATGGATTGCTGGGACTCTATCCAATTCGGTTAGGAAGTTCTCTTCTCCGGTTTGGATTCGCCTTCCCAACCTTCCATTGGAATACTAGGATGAGGCCAATCTCGCGAGTATGGCTGCTGGGGTGGGAGAACCGATGTACATGGATGAACAAACCAGAATGTGGGATCGATGCGCTTTTGCTCGCATTTGTGTCCGGATAGACCTCTCTAAGAAATTGCCTAAAGGGGTGTGGGCGGATGGTCTGAATGGAGCCTTCTTCCAACCGATCGAGTATGAGGGCATCCCATTGATTTGTCAGGCATGTGGGAAAGTTGGCCATAAGGCTGAGGGGTGTCGAGAATCCTTGCTCTCAGCTAGGGGGGCTCTTCCTTCTCGGGGTCATGTGGTGCCCACTGCCAATGGCCAATTGAACGATATGGAGGTGGATCGGAGGAATGATGATAACTTGGCTTCAGCGCCGAGCTCGGTGGGAGGGGTGACCACTATGAGGAATGAGGAGCAAGGGAATGGACTATAGTTACAAGAAGAAGGCGACCAAGATCGACAAAATCTGGCTCAAAAATCTCGGATATGAATAATGCCCCACCCAATATGACTACGAAGAAAACCACTAGCACTATGTGGAAGGTTGTGGCCGATGGCAACGGCCCCAAGGGGGATCCTAATTTGCAGGGAAGTTTGTTTGGTAAGGAAAATAATATGAACCCAAGACAACCTGAGAAGTCGACTAGTGCTGAAGGTGTGGAACTGAATAAGCCATCGATTGAATTGACTCAACCAATGATGGAAGATAATGTGAAAATGGACAAGTACCCGGTTGGTATGGAAATCAATTTTGAACATAGTAGCCCTTCTCCACCGTGCTTGGCTGGAGCTGGGGAACTGGCTAAGGGAGGACTTGGAGATAATCTACTTATTGAATCGGGCAGTAGGGAGGCACGGTTACCTCAAGATGTGAGAATGGAGGGAACCAGGACTGGGGATGACGTTCTTACACATGACGTGGTGAGTAGACCGATTGCTTATCGGAAGACTCGTCGTGGGAGCTCGGCCTCCCAAGCTCAAACTCTAGCCCCACAGGTGTTGAGATTCTCAGGTTCAAAATCTAATCCAATTAAGACAAAGAATGGGAAGGCCAGGGATGCCAAAGACAAACGCACAAAAGAACTTGGGAATTATGGCCCATTTCAGAAGCTGCCTGGAGTCAGACGGAATAAAGATCAAACGAGGTTGGCGGTTTCACCATCTAGGGCACATGCTTTAAATGTCATGGACCGGTCTTCCAATGGAAGGATTGAAGGTGATTTTGCAGATCAATGGCAAGAGGTGTTTTCAGAGGTCTTTTGCGGCGGGGACGCATCCCCTTTGGTGGATAATGTTTAGTATTCTTTGCTGGAATTATAGAGGTGCCCGTAAGAAGGAGACGGGTAATGTCTTACGGCACCTGGAGGGGGATCGGGGAGTCAGCTTCATTGGCTTGTTCGAGACAAAGATGAAAACCCTTACTAGACAGGACATCGATAGGTTGGTGGGTAGGAACTGGGACTTTTGCTACCAACCGTCGGTGGGCAGAGCCGGGAGTATTCTTGTGCTTTGGAAGGTGGCAGCTGGCTCTTTCCAGGTGCTCTTCCAGTCGGACCAGTGTATCATGGGGACTATGAGCAAGTCAAGCACGGTTGGGTGGGAGATTGCTATGGTCTAAGCGAACAATGACAGATATGTCCGGAGACAACTCTGGGAGGATATCTCTCGCCATCATATTGCTGATGTCCCATTGGTGGTTGGGGGAGATTTCAATTGCATTTTGGCACCTGGGGAAAAGAAGGGTGGAAGACCATTCTTTAACTCCCAAGCGGCGAGTGAAATGGGCGACTTTATGGCAGCAAATGATCTGATTGATATGGGGTTCTCTGGTCCGGCCTACACTTGGTCTAACAATAAAGATGCTAGGAGCAGGATTTACTGTCGGCTGGACAGGTTCTTAGTTAGCTCAGCTTTGCTGGACATGTTCCAGGGACTAAAGGTGATTCACTTAACTAGAACTGCATCGGACCACTGCCCCATGCTTCTCTGCTTCGTTCAGGAGGAAGGCAAAAGAAAGTACTCGCAGTGGATCAAGTTTGAAGATGTGTGGGCTACTTTTCCCTAAAGCGTGGCAAATTGTTTCTGAGAAGTGGAAGGTGCGTGATACGGGATCAGAGGCAACTAAATTGCAAAGAAAATGTAAACGATCTTTAAGGGCCCTGTTCTTCTGGAGTAGGAATAAGATAAAGATGTTAAACAAGCTGAAAGTTGATCTTGACGGGGAAATTAGGATCCTCTAGGAGCTTGAATGCTCCCCGACCGGAATCTCTGAGACCCAGGCTGAAACCTTGATGTACAAGGTGCAGTTACTAAAGGCTACGTTGGCTAGAATTACAATGTGGTGGGGACAACGCGCCAAAGTGTGATGGATTGAAGAGGGGGATGGGAATACCCAGTTCTTTCATTCCATGGCCTCCGCACTACAGCGATCCAACTAAATCGAGCAGCTGCAATCTCCAGACGGACAGGCCGCTACGGCGCAGGTTGACATCTTGCGGGTGGTTCATGATTTCTTTGCACAAAAATGGAAAAGCACACCTATTGTTGAGACTGGATGGCCCTCTTTGGACTCCCTATTGGCGATCATGGAACCGTTTGCTGGGCACCTTGACAGGGCGATTACGCAGGAGGAAATTTGGCTTGCTATCAAGTCCATGGGGCCGAATCGGGCGCCTGGTAGGGACGGCGTTACGACATCATTTCTTAAGGCCTTCTGGGACATTGTTGGTGAGCAAGTTACGTTGGCGTGTTGGGAATTTTTTTCTTCTGGACAAATGGAACCGACCTGGAAGGAAACCATTGTTGTCCTGTTGCCGAAGGTGGATAAGCCAAACCATCCGTCTAAATTCCGACCCATCAGCTTATGCCAAACCATCTATAAGATTGTTACGAAGATTCTTGTTGGCCGTATCAAAGTCATCTTGCCCAACCTGATTTTTGAGGAACAAGCGGCGTTTGTGCATGGTCGATTGATTTCCGACCATTGCCTTATGGGGCAAGAAATTGTGAACAAATTCAGAGTGTCCAAGTCCACTCGGGGTTGGATGGCTATGAAGGCGGACATGGAGCAGGCCTATGACAAAATGAGCTGGAGAACTCTGGAGTTGGTGCTCATGAAGATGGGTTTTCCCCTGAGATTTCGTACTTGGGTGCTGAATTGTGTGACCACACCTCGTTTCTCTATTCTGGTCTATGGGACTCTTACGGGCGGGATTACGGTGGGCTGCGGGTTCAGACAGGGATGTCCGCTCTCTCCATACCTGTTTATTATGTGCTCGGAGCTTCTCTCGTTTCACTTCCATCAAAACTACCAGGAGCTGGGTGTTCAAATCCGGATGGGGGGACCTCTTGTGTCCCACCTTCTTTTACGCTGACGATGTTTTATTTTTTGCAGGTGTGACCACCGCCAATGTAAGGAAATTTTTAACCATTCTGGAGGACTACTGTGGCTGGACGGGTCAACGGATCAATAAGACCAAATCGGCGATCATGTTTAGTAGACTTGTGCCCTCATCTACTAAAACTCGGCTGGCCAAGCTTGCTGGGTGCCGTAAGGTGGAGGAAATGGACTACCTTGGTGTCAAATTTGCGATGTGAAGGCTTTCTAAGGCTGACTTCAGCCCGCTGCTACAAAAGGTGAACACTCTAACGATCTCCTGGGGAACCCGTCACCTGTCCTTGGCCGGTAGAATTATAATGATCAATTCGGTTTTAATCCCCCTCTCGACAGATGCGGTGACGCACACCTTGGTGCCGCGGGGTGTTCTTGCTGAGGTGGAAAGGCTTTGTCGAAGATTTCTGTGGGACAAAGACATGGAACATAAGAGTATGCACTACGCGGCATGGGGGGATATAACTAGGCCTAGGCGGTATAGGGGGCTCGGTTTCCATGCTAGCCACAATTGGGTTGGACCGTTGAGGGCAAGAATTGCGTGGGATTTCTTGCACAAGCCACAAAACTTATTTCAGAGATGTATGAGACATACGTATGGTGCTTGGCCTTGGCAGCAAAATCGTAAACGAGGTGAATCTGGAGTTTGGAGCATTATATACAATGGGGCAGACAGTTTGAGTAACATTGTTCGCTGGAAGGTGTTCAATGGCGCCGAGATTGACATTGTAAATCACATATGGATTTTGGATTCAGCTATTTCCTTATGGCCTACCTTTTGTAACATCGAGAGAATTGAAGGCTACTCGGTCAACGAGTTTATCACGCTGGACAACTGTTGAGATCGCCGCAAGCTTCTGTTGTGTTTTGGAGAGGCTCTCGTTGACAGAATTTGTGATGTCAAGCTGTGGACGGAAATGGATGCAGATTCGCTGGAGCTCATCAAAAGTCCCCTTGGCACTTCTATCTTGGCTATCTGCTATGATTCCTTGTTCCGATGTGAAGAGAACCAAGTGTGTACCATCCTGAAGCTTGGATTAAGACCCCGGGAGAGTATTTTCTGGTGGCGAGTTTACATGGACCTCATCCCCATGTGCGGATGGCTACATCGGCGGGGTTTGTGTGCTGATGTGTTATGCCCGATGGGATGTAATCAGTTGGAAGAACTGAACCATGTCACGACTCAGTGCAAGAAATTAGATGAGGTTCTGCGACGGCTGGAGGCTTGGGGGTTCCCCACTCCGAGATTTACTTCTCTGGATGAGCTCAAGGGTGCGCTGAAAGGGGGGCTTTTGACAAAGGCTAGTTGGCCTCTTCTCTACTGTGCGGCTGTGCACCTCTGTTGGGGAAATAGAAATGCTATTCGTCACGGAAAGAATGAGTCCACTATTACCATGATGGCTGCAAAGATCCTGGGCTCGACCACGCATAGTTTCTTTTCGCGTAACTTGGAGCAACGGTTCACCAAGTGGGCATTATCATCCGGGACAGCTTGTGCAAGCTGATAACGGCGGCGGGATGGATATTACACATTGGGACAGCACCCAAGTGGAGATTATGGCTGTGCATTACATAGATAAACTCCTCCTTGATTGGATGTTTGAGGTCGAGGGGGTCATTGTGGAGAGGGACAATGCGAGTGTGATGGAGTTTATGCACCGCTGCAAGCAAGAAGAGTTGTGGAGGCTCCGACCAGATGATGGGCACAAATTAAACTGGGTGAAATCTTTCCAAAAGTTGTTTTTTGTTCATACTTATAGGGAGCATAATAGAGCTGCTCATTTTTGTGCTCAAAGAGCAATAGAAGATAGTTTTGTTTGGGATGTTGGTGATAGGAACAATATATGTATTCCTCAGGACTTTTTGCGTATCCTTGAGGATGATAGTTGCATTTTTGCCCCGGATGTGGGGTCTTTATTTTGATTGGTTTTGTAATGGGGTTTAGATGAATGCAAATACAGAAGTTCAACTCTCTCTTTCTCTCTCTTCCCTTTCTCCTCGCTCTACCTTTCCTTGCTCTCTCGCTCTCTCGCTCTGTTGCTCTCTCTATCTCTC